CAGTTCCGGTGCTGAAGTGACTTCACATGAAAATCAAACCAAAGTTGCTTTAAATGCTTTCGACTGCTATTTGATTGGAAAACAAACGTTTGATAACAAGGAGTACTTGAATGCAAAGCAATGGCTAACAGAAGCGATCGATAGATTGGATGACATGACCAGCGATGAGATAATTGCAGACATTTTCAATTACCTATCGTTTTGTGAACTGAAAATTGGAAAACCAAGTGAATCTCAAAAATATAAAAGATTGTCGGCCGCTATAAAGCCAGATATCGAGAGAAATGAGTTGATATCGGAGATCAAAATGTTTAACGACACGAATACCACTTCTTATGATCTTGATAAACCTATTTTTGATTTAACAACAAATGGATATGAATTATGTCGAAAAAAAAGTCTTTTGAATGACTCGATTGTCTCGAAACTCAAGTGTTTTCACTTAAACACAACGAAAACACCGTTTTTACGGTTGACTCGCATTAAAGTGGAAGAGATGTACAAAAGTCCGAAAATTGTTGTAATCCATGACTTTCTGTCGGAATGCGAGACACAAACCATCATCTCTTTGGCTCAGCCATCATTAGACAAGTTATTCGCGTATGGATTTGGTCCTCAAATAGATTTCAATATAAGACTGGCGAGGGGTAGCCTTGTTTATGACAGACAACACAAAGTCGTGCACACAATCAGCCGACGTATCGGTGCCATCACTGGCCTTAACATGGATTTTGCCGAACCGTACAAAGCTATGAAGTATAGTGTCGGCGGATATTTTTCCGACCATTACGACCCGGGTGACCACCAACGAAACGCGTCAATCATCGAACGGAAACGTATGGTCACTTGGATCAACTACCTGAGCGACGTGGGCGCCGGTGGGGCCACTGTATTCCCACTCATCAATGTGACCGTTTGGCCCGCAAAATACTCGGCACTATTTTGGCACAATCTGCACAAATCAGGTCAACTCGATAGGCAGACACTGCACGCCGGGTGTCCTGTACTCGTGGGACATAAATGGATTGCCAACAAATGGATCCCATCGATGGGACAGGAGTTTATCAAACCGTGCGATCCATACGATCGACATTCACGTCATTGCATTCAATGAGACAAACATTATATAATGTGTTCATAACTAAACAGTAATTTATATATTTTATTTAAATACTTAATAAATAACGTCATTTTCACCCAAAAAAATGGTTTATAATTTCGTTACAATCTTGTGGTCGAGGGAGCAGTTGGTTGTGCGCCAGTAATAGCATCCCTTGTTTGGGTGGACAGGACTTGAGCTCCGGCTGATCGTTGGTGGGCCGCCCCGCGAAGTGCAGCACCTCATGAGCACCGGCTGTCCGTTTTCTTACGCACTGACGTCCGCGAGTACCATTCCCTGGAGTAGACCGATGGCGGGGCAACCGGGGAGTCCGGGTTGACGTCGTCGTGGAGGTAATTCCCGGACCGGGAGAATGGGTTTTGGTTCAATCGCCTTTAGGCGGCCGTCGAGTCCGGCGCGCCGGGAGATGGCCTTCTGGTTGTCGGCGCACACCCTATCAACCCGTCGCCCATAATAGCCCCATATGTTCGTTGGTTTCAATGGATTTTGCGGCCATTTCTTGATTACGGCGTGAATTTCGATGTTATTTGAGTCGAGAATTGATTTATTGTTTTCTGAAACAAATTAGTGTTTTAACAGCTCTTGTGTCTCAAAAATGCCTACAATAGGAGGGAAAGTAGTGTTATTTTTTGTGACGGATGAGAATTACATATATTAATGAGTTTTCAGTCATTGCTTGCCGTAAGCCGAGTCATAGATCTGGATTATTGATCTCTAGTCAAACTACTGGACTATTGATTATTGATCTGGATGGTACAACAAGCCTTGGATTACATAACAGACCCGTACAGACCTGTATGTTTGCCAATCACTGACCGTATGGCTATGCGTTCACATATTTTATACGGATCAATGAGTGGCTATATATACAGTGGTTCTACCCCAAAAGGCCTAAAACCAAAAAGGCCTAAACTCTAATAAATAACTGACCAGTGAACATATTTTTAATTAAATTAGTGGAATAATGGTGTCTGAATCTAACCTAACCATACATGATCTGAATTAAGTCAAATGATCATTGGTCAATTAGTTATTCAAGTTTAGGCTTTTTGGGTTAGTCCCATATACAGTACATGTCATAGGCGTGACTGCATTTACTTTTCCGCCCAACACTTAAGTGGAGAGAGAGAGAGAGAGAGAGAGAGAGTGAAAGTCCGTTCAGTTCAGAGTCAGTGTGGAAACCATTGGTTGGCATTCAATCACAATTGTCTCACAAATCAAATTAATTCACATCTCATTTAACACTCGTTTGTAAACGCTAAGTTCAAGGTAAATGTTAATTCATGTTTAATGTCTCAAAAACTAAACTAAATAGCAAGGTACTCTAGAGGGCGGTGGTGGTGCATAGTTAGGAGGCGGCGGTGGAGGTTATATATGAGTAGTGAGTTGGAGAGGGTGGTGGAGGTGCAATTGACCAAATGGACACGATTCTCAAATAGTATTACCCATGGTACCCCCCCCTCCACGCCGGGTGTCCTGTACTCGTGGGACATAAATGGATTGCCAACAAATGGATCCCATCGATGGGACAGGAGTTTATCAAACCGTGCGATCCATACGATCGACATTCACGTCATTGCATTCAATGAG